GGCTCAGTCACCAGGAGGGGGCGTGCAGGAGGCAGCCAATGAATGATTCTCATCATTGATGTTTTCATCTCTCTCCTCTTCTTCCTTCTTCTCTCTGAAATCAATTAAAAAAAAAAAGAGGGATCCTTATTATAAAAAAGGAAGTCGACTTCGAGAGAGGCAGGGAGGTGGAGTGGCTAAGTATGCAAGCCTTTGGGAATTCAAATCCTATTATACAGCCATTTACTGTGTGACCTTAAACCAGTTACTTAACCTCTCTGTGCATTAGTTTCCTGTTGTGTAAAGTGGGGAAAAGAAATGTAATCATCTCACATGGAGGAGGAGCAAATGAATTAATATCTGTGAGGAGCTTTCACTCTTACACTGGTGGTAAGAAGCCCAGTTAGGGGAAAACTAGAAGTTAAGAGAACTGTGACTTGTTAGGGGAAAGAGATTATGCTAATCAGGAGGGGAGACTTCAGCATAAATAAGATGCCAAGGGTTTCAGGCAGCTTTAAACTATTATTTAAAAATACATATGTAGTTAAGTTCTTACTATGTAAACATTTCAAGCAACATACAGTTCAATCCCCTTAGTCACACTTCTTCTCCCAGAAATGATTGCTATTGTTGGTTTCAAGGAATTGCTTCCATACCCTTTTGTTTGAGTGTATAAGCATATGCATGTTGCTACAGAAACCCATGGCTTTGCTAGATTAAAAAAAAAAAAAAAAGCCAAAAAAAAGTGCTCTGTCTTGGAATTCTTCCCTTGTCCGTACACAGATCTATTTCATGTTATGTGGTGCAAAACAATTAAGTGTGGGGATGTACCACGGTTTGATAATTTCTCGGGCAGTTTTAAAAAAATGTTTTTCCCATTGGCTTAATAGCAATACAGAAACACAGGTTACCGTCCTCTTTCTAAAATACAAGATTGGTCATGTGGCTCCAGCTACTCCAAACATTTAGGAGGTCCCATTGCTCAAACCCTAGTGTTTCACGAATGACTTCAGTCTCTATCTTAGCCACTCTATGATCACCATTTCCCAAACCTGTCACACACGGCTCTCCTCTTGGCAGCTCTTTCTCCCGTTTCTCCCCAGTCATTCGTCCCTATCTTCATTCATTCCACATGAACACCCTCTCCCAGCTGGAAATAATTGTGGTGTGTGTGTGTGTGTGTGTGTGTGTGTGTGTGTGTGAGAATCCACAGCCTTTTGTACCCTATTTACTTCTCCATTTGGCAAATAGTTATCAGGTGCCTGCTCTCTCCTGCCTGTCTCCCTGACCCAGCTCTCAGTCAGTTTCTCGGGGGCTGAGATCATGTCTTATTCCAGGGAGAACAGACATCTTGGTTTTCCAAGCCTGGTTCTGGTTTTCACCTGCTGTCCTGGTGGAATGATTTGTCATGCCCTTTCACTGTGGTTTAGATGAAAACTTACATGATCTTTCTAGTTTTCCCGACAATAGATGCTTACAGTGAATGTCAATGGGAGAAAAAAAAAAGAATGAATGGGTAAGTGAATGAATATGATTTGGTTTTCATGATTCAGTGATGCCACCCTACTCTGAGCTCAAGCCTCGAGAGCACATACTGAGCTTTGTAGGGGTCACTTCTCTCTGGGCTGTATTGCGTTTGAGGGGTTTATAGGAACCCTATAATCTCCAGACATCTTGCTTACAGGTAACAGGTTTTTATAAATGTTAGATTCTGATAGGATCATCTAGTATGTTAAAAAAAAAAAAAGACTGGCACAAAGGCAACATTTATGAATAAAAGACTGCTGACATTGAACTTGGATTAGGAAGTTATTTCCAAGATGATGTCATCAAGGGCAGGGGTTTAGCAGGTGGAGCCATCCCGTACTTCCTGCTGTGTAACCTTTAGCAACTCACTTTCTCCCTGAGCCTCAGTTTCCTCATCTGTAAAGTGGGGATAATGACCTCATAGCTTTGTTGTGAGAATTAGATGAGACGATGAATGCAAAATAGTAGGCCGAACCACTCCAGGTGACCGTCTTGACCTTCAAAATGGCATTTCATACACTTCAATCTGGCAGGTGCCTGGCATGTAGTCAGGGTTAAAAAAACAGTGGCTGTGATTACCTCACATCTGGTCGGGTTGCTATTTCTGCTCCTGTTGCTTGGCTGAACAGACGCTTCATGCTTTCATCCAAAACATACTTGCTGAGCACCGATGACATGCGAATAATTGCCATCAGGAAGGAAACAAGACATTTGTCTTAAGAGTTGAATGTATCTCTTCAACACATTCAGTAGCACAGTCGCCTGTGAATAGGGCCTGGCAGGCTGGTCAGGGACTTCTTAGAGAGTCAGCTGGGGGAGGCCCATGACTGGGAAAGCAGGCCTCAGCTTGCAGAGCACGAGGGGCTGAGGCAAAGCGGGCTTGCCCTGAATCTGGCAGTTTGCTTTGTGACCAGCTAGCGAAGGCCTGCCCTGGGCTTTCTTAGAGACCAGTTGGCCAGGCAGGGGACAAGGCTGCCCAGCTGAGCTTTCGGCCTGAGCATGTCCCTTTCTGCTTGTCCATCTGGAGAAGAGAGTCCACAGCCGTCCTTCGGTGTCACTTACGATATTTAGTTACAGATGACATTGCCAGCAGCCCCTGGGACCTAATGCCACCAGGGTGAGGATCCTGCTGGAAGGCAGAATTCATCCCTGGTTGCTCTTTTGTTGGAGGAGGAGGGGAGGAGGGAAGAATCCCACTTCCACAGGCTGTGCCATTGTATGACTCAGAGCTGGAATGAAGGGGCTGGGGTAATGAGGACTCAACTTCCTTCACCTGCGACCCCACGACAACATCTTACATTAAAATGCAGAATCAAGTTGAGTCCCAGGGAATGGTGAAGGGAAGGAGGCGAGAGGTGAGGGAGTGTTTTTCCTTTCCATGGGGCTGGTAGGGTTCCCATGTTGACCCGGCCAAGGGCACTCCTCTTGCTGAAAAGCAAGCCAGACCTGGTAACAAGGCGGGAGCCATGGTTCAGGCAGGAGGACCTTCTGCGGAAGGCGGGGGTGGTGGTGGTGGTGGTGGGGGTGGGTGGGGGAGCGTGAGGCTCTGCATACCAGAGCAGAGAAGACCCGTGCTTGGTTTAGACTTCTCTTTTTGGTATTACAAAGCTAAACTTTTGTCAGGCATGTCAGCCAGACTCGCTGGACTCTGGGGATTTAAGAAATGTGACTATTTCTACAGCCTGGCAGAGAAACTTCCAGAACTATGCCTTCCAGTATGATAGTCACTTGTGGCCATTGAGCACTCAAAACCTGACTAGTCTGAATAGAGATGAAAGTGTAAAGCATACATCAGCTTTCAAAGACTCTCTCTACCCAAAAAGGAATGTAAACTATTTCATTAGTATTTATAAAGTTTTATGACATGTTGAAATGACAATAATCTGGAAATGATGGGTTAAATAAAACATATTATTAGAATGAATGTCACCAGCCAGGACTGGTTTGGCTCAGTGGATAGAGCATCGGCCTGTCAACTGAAAGGTCCCTGGTTCGATTCCAGGCAAGGGCATGTAGCTTGATTGTGGGCATATCCCCAGTAGGAGGTGTGCAAGAGGCAGCTGATGGATGATTCTCTCTCATCGATGTTTCTAACTCTCTATCCCTCTCTCTTCATCTCTGTGGAAAATCAATAAAATATATTTGAAAAAAATAAAATGAATGTCACCAGTTTATTTTATTTTATTTTATTTTATTTATTTATTTTTTTACTTTGAACACTGTGGCTACTAGGAAATGTAAAATGACCTATGTGGCTTGCATTGTATTTCTATTGGGAAGTATTATTCTAGAAGACTCTGGGTGGCTTTTCACCTACCCTGAGGCAAGTGAGTGGTCAAATGTGAAACCACCACCAGGATGGATTTAGCATACCACATCTCTTGGGGAGACTCAGAAACAGGTGGGTCAGGAAAACCCACTGAAGATTGGCCTTGCTATGGCGTGGGCCACATGAGTTGGGTATAAAAGAGAAGAGTGACCTACTCAGAGGGCTGGACCTATGAGTTAAGTCTGAGAGTAAGAGAACTGGTGATTTTTTTGTTTTGCAGTGGCCCCTTAAAATGGCTGCACCAAAGCATCAATCCAGAAGCCCAAGATGGGACTAAGGGGTAAGAAGGCCCCAGGTGTACCCCAAAGAGTTTGGAAGTGGCTTCTGGGCTCAGCAAGCAACTTGAGGGCCTCAAAGAGCCTGTTAGACCATGGCTATAGTGTATGGATTTTTATTTTTATTTTTTATTTATTATTATTATTATTATTGTTATTTTGTGTATGGATTTTTATACCGTGAATTAAATCCCAAGTACTTATGTGTAACAACTCCATGTTGTGAGAACATGGTACTCTCCAGAGCAGTGGACACTGTTGGTGCCCTGCCCAGATCCTTTTCTGGTTCTGGGAGCTCATCCCCAGGTCCTGTCACTTTGCTGCTAAAAACCACAGCTGCGATCCTCTTTAGATGATTACCCAGGGGTTACTAGTGCCCTCGTACCCATTCTGAGAGCCACTATTCTCATAGCCAATGATTGACTGGTGCAGTGCACAACACTCCACCTGCAGATGCAGGAACTCTGAGACACACACACACTCCAGAGCTCCCAGGGAGCAGGCGGAGGCTGCACCTGCAACCACACTCTCGTTTGTCTTCTCTTTTTCTGTCCTGCTCTCTTCACTCCCTTCCTCGCCTCTCCTAGAGGCACTTCCTTAATAAATCACTGGTCCTCAAAAGCTCATCTCAGAGTTTTCTCTGGGGAACCCCACCAGAAAAACATAGACTTCATTGTGGGTATTGGTCTTGACCTTGGGCTGTGGCCATGTCATACACATCCATAGAGTGAGTATATGGGGGATTCCAAACCCTTGAGCTACCCTTGCTGAGAGGCCCCGACCCTGTGTCCAGAAGAGCAGGGGCTGTAGGACCAGAAGAGGGGCCATGCCGTCTGCATCTCTCCAGATCGTGTCCAGGAGGCAGCAATGAACTCACACCAACAGCCACGTGACTTCCCCTCTGCCGTTTATTTTTTTGCTGTTTAATCAGGCTCTCCACACACACATCTTTTGATCTCGATCATGGCCTCTTGACCAGAAAGCTGAAGCTGTGTCATCTTGACAACGCCCCTGCCCTCTTACGTAATGTATTTCAAAATAAGGATGGAAACAGGAACTCTGCTGAGTTTTGCAACACAGAAGTGTATTCTAGGCCTACAATTTATAGGAAGTGGGGGTGGGAAAGAGCAATGAGTCCAGGGAGGTGGGGGAGAGAGGGAGTGTCCACACCCAGGGTAGTCACACAGGTGGGCAAGCAAGATGGGAACGGGTGCCTGAGTCCTGAGGGTTCCAGAATCATTAGGACTTGCTGACTTATCAATGGGGGAGAGCTTTAGAAAAACCTACACACACACACACTGTCTCTACATGGGAAGCACTCACTTCCCCTTAAGGTAGACTAGAAAAAAATGAAAGCGAGCCCGAAAACCCACATTAACCCAACACACACACACCACACACTCACACAACAAACTCTGAGTCTCCAGAAAAACACCCTCCCATAGGCACTTGGTGTCTTCAGCTCTGGGTTTGGAGAGAAGATCTGGGGCTTTGTCCCCCAAAGACAGGGGCCACCGTCCCCTCAGGGACACCTCTGCTTCTGAAGGCTCTGGGGTCTGATATTTCGGGGGTCCTGGCCCCGCTGAACAGGAAGGAGGTCTGTGTCATGAAGATCACTCTCCCCGCCTCCCCTCGCCCCATGCCTTTTATTTCTCCGAGACAGTGGCTTGGAGGCAGCTGTGTGCCCGGTGAATTTTCTGCATACAGCAGCCCGCCATTTCTAAGGAGTGCGTCACTGAAGGGGCACATGCTGGCTTTTGAAAGGTGGGCGTGCCATGTTGGGAACTGCTGGCTCCATGAGGAAGGGGCCACTTTCAGTTTGCTACTGACCCCTGTGAGCCTCAGGACCCAGCACTGTGCCTGGCACTTAGTAGGCCCACAACGCATGTTTATTGGATGACTGAAGGAAATAAGCAGGAAGAAAATCCTTGTCTCCCAAGCATACACATTTATCATCTTTCCATCGGTTATAAATTGGTTCGTTTTAACCCTCCATGTGGAACTATAATATAATTCATGTATTCTCCTGACATCAGCTGGCGCTGAAGGAACTTTCTTTAATTTTTATTTTGTTTTTAGTTGCAGCTGAGTCTTGTCAGGGGGAGCCAGAGAACTGACCTGGTTATGTGCACACGAGAGGGTCTGCAGCACACGCTCGGGTGAACGTCCATGGAGAATCTATCGTCCCCAAGGCCAGCAGCGGGTCCAGAACTGGCCCTTCTGGCCGGAGGCTGGGCCAGGGTCCCTAGGTGTTGGGTCTGATGACTGGGGAGGAGGGTCCGATGTTTGATTATAGCCCGGGGCAAGGCCTGAATGAGAAGCAGAGGCACCTGTGAGAGGAGGGAGGCCAGGGACTGGCCTTAGAATTGAGAACCAGGCAGGAGGAGATGGGGTGGCCGGCCCAGGGCCTTGGACACACTGAACTCTCGGCCACCAGGAAGCCCCCAGCACCCGGGAGAGCCTGTGTCCGGGAGAAAGGTGAGGCAGGAGCCTCTGGGATGGAGAAGGCTGCTCTGATAGAATCTGCTCCAGGGAAGGCTCTAACGGCATTTTGGACCCTCGGGGAACGGGGTGGCCAAGCGTGTCTACTCCGCGGGGAGAGAGACACGGGGGTGTGGGAGAGGCTGGTAAGGAATGAATACTTGGGTGGCCACCTGGAAACCAGAGGCAGGTGAATTTGAAATGATGATGGCAGCTTAAGGTATGTCGGGGTCCCAGGTCCCTTTCCACTCGATCGACCTTGACTTTGGGGCATGGCCACCAGGAGAACTGGCATGCCCTGAACTTCCTCCCTTCACCTGCAGAAGAGACCAAGGCTTCTCTGGGGCAGGGTCTGGGTAGCTACGGCTTTGCTGTTTCATGTCAGGGCTGTACCGCTCCTGAAAGGGCAGAGTGGAGGGTCCCTGGGGGTGACGTCAGTGGACGCTGAGGGCCTTCTGAGGGAGGGCAAGGCACCGACATCCCAAATCCCTCCCCGGTTCCTGCAGGCCTCCCAGTGGGTCTGGTCGGGCAGGGGGAGTCTGGGGGAGAACTGGGGAGGGGAGGGACCTGCTGAGCCCTGGTAGTGTGGCCCAGACTGGGGGATCTCTCTGGGTTGCCATGCAGGAGCCTGGCCAAAGCTGATGGCCGAGGCAGCTGCTTGGATGACGGCTCTTGAGCATCATCTCTCTGCTGCCCCACCTGGCCACTGCCCCGGGCTCCTTTCTCTTTGAGATCTTGGTTGACTTTGATAACTGACCATCTGGGCAGCTGGCTTTTCGTCTTCCGGGCTTTAACAGCCTACTCTTATGTTCTAAATGTGCCAATGGAGAGCGAGCCTGGGGAAACCCTGAGCCCCCATCCTCGACCCCAATAAAAGCAGAACCCCACGACCTGCTGTGTGGCCCCAGGTGTGCTGTGCGATTTCTAGGTCCTGTAAATAACAAACTTTCTTGTTTTGTTTTGTTTCCTCAAAGTTTCTTAATGCTCATGGCTGAGGGGCGTCTGGCCCTCACGAGAACCACAGGGCCGGCCTGGCCGCAACAGCTTCCCGGCGGGCTGAGACCGGCACGCGGCGCCCGCTCAGGTCAGGGCACCATGTGCCACCACTTGAAGGCGAAGGGCTTCCTGCGGACGTTGGTGCCGCAGTGGATCTCGCCCAGGAACTTGTGGTAGGCGGAGATGTCGTCCACGAAGGTGCAGCAGAGGCCCAGGGGCTCCAGCAGCGAGCGCACGTGCGTCTCCAGGCAGCACACCTCCTCGATCTGGGGCCCGAATGGCTTGGGGATGCCCAGGTCCTTGTCCAGCACAATCATGTTCACCTGTGGTGGAGGGCAGGGCAACAGCTCCCGTTCAGTGAGCACCTACTATGCGCCTGGCCATGTTCTAAACTCACTGGACTCTCCCAACAACTCTGTGAAGTACGTATTGTGATTTGTCCCCACTTTACAGATGAGGACACTGAGGCACAGAGGGGGCTAAGTGACTCACACATGGCAGAGCTGAAGTGGAAAGTCAGGCTTTCTTCTGAGTGTAGGTGCATGTATTTGCCCATGCACATAGCTATATATGCATGCAGCAGGGCATATAAATGCACATGTGTATTTTCGTGTACATGCATGCATGCATGCAAATGCGTACATGGAAGGTGTTGTCAACATGTATCATAGACTCTCCTTTATGATAACAAGAATTCCCCTGTCCATAAAGGTCTTTTTAAAAAATCCTCACCCAAGGATATTTTTCCATTGATTTTTAGAGAGAGTGGAAGAAAGAGGGAAAGACAGAGAGAAACATAGATGTGAGAGAAATAAAACAATTGTTTGCCTCCTGCACCAGGGCCCAGGCTGGGAAGGAGCGTGCATCCAAGGTATGTGCCTGTGGCCGGAATTGAATCCGGGACCCTTTGGTCTACAGGCCAACGCTCTATCCACTGAACCACACCGTCTAGGGCTCCATAAAGGCCTTTTGAACTTACACAGCCCTTTCCTATCTGTTTAAGGTAGGGGTGTCCAACTCAATCAGAGAAGGGGCCAAAATCTAAAATCCAGCCTAAATCGCGGGCCGAATGGTTTACTGAACAGTCATAAACTGTCATTGTGATGGAAACGCAGCGGAGTGCAGTGATGACAGCGCGGTTCGGGCCACATTGCAAGGCCTGGCGGGACGGATTTGGCCCGAGGGCCTTGTGTTTGACACATGTGGTTTAAGGTAAAGGGTTCCCGAAGAGCCAGTGAGGCAGCCAGGGCGAGCCTGTCTCCTTTCAGAAGGAATGAGCCCAGAGGGGCCAAGTGCCTGGGGTGGGTGCTGAGGCCACACAGCAGCTCAGCCAGGACTGGGACCTGGGCCTCCCGATGGACGGCCTCAGCCCAGGGGTTCTTCTGGGTCTGGCCGCCCCCTGACTGGCCTGGGGCCCCCAGCGCCTCACCATGTTCGGGAAGTAGGCTATGGCCTGGCGGTCCTCGTCCATCTTGAACAGAGCAGGCAGGTCGATGATGTCCTGCTCCGTCAGCCCCAGCTCCTTCTTGAGGATGTCCCGGTTCCAGTCCAGGCAGCGCTGGGAGGGAGAGGGAGGGCAGGCAGTGAGAGGACAGCCCTGCCACTGATACAGAACTGTACATAGCTGTGGGCACACGGCTACCAGGCCTGGTGACTGGTGCATGTAGAAGCTATTGTTCCGGGGCCTGGGGTGTATGACGGGACCTGCCCTGACTCCAGGAGACCCGCAGGCGATCCAACCTCCGTGCCCCCGGAGGGCTGCAAGCCACCGAGCCGGTATCTGAGCCATTGTGCTCCAGGGAGAGAACGTCCCCGCCCGGGACGCAGATGAAGAATCACGGTCAGGGGAGGATGCTCAGGGGATGCTCAGAAGATCACCAGACTTTTACCGGATTTACTCCCCCCCCTGAATTCCAAACCCCTTCACCTACACTTTTCTGCTCCTTATAAAAAGGGCTGACATTTTGGATCCTCAGGGAATGGGGAGGCTAGCCAAGGATGTCTACACAGCAGGGAGAAAGCCACGGGGTGTGGGAGAGGCTGGTAAGGAATGAATACTTGGGGTCGCCACCTGGAACCCTGAGGGAGGTGAACCCCAGTTGAGGGGACCGAAGACATGGAGTTCTTAGTGAGGTGCCCAGGTCGTACTGCCAAAAGTGGGGAGGAGCATGATTTCCCCTCATAGTTCACCCCAGAATTTGCCAAAAAATAGGTCAGAGAGCAGATATTATAATAAAGTCAACTTTCAGATAGCCACCGAGGCGTGCTGTGAACGTGGCTGGGGTTTGTAGATTTCGCTTCTCCAGCCTCCACTCCACCCTCCCCCTGCAAGGCTGCCTTGGATTGCCCGCATGCACACTTTCTGGCAAGAGCGGGTTAGTGGATGCTCGCCCCTACAGCCTTGCCCCGGGGCTGGGTTCAGGGATTGACAGTAGATCAGGTCGAAGGCACAGTGGTGCCTCACACAACGAACTTAATTCGTTCCAGGAGCAAGTTTGTTATGTAGCATAAAATATGCTAAGATGACATAAAAAAAGATAAATTTTTTGTTATTATTTTTATTTAGATACATCATGATATAAAAAAAATAGAGTTTAACTTAAAAGGACGACTGCCGCGACACGTGCTTAAGTTAAGCGCAGTGACTAACGACTGCCTGCAGTGCCTGCGCAGAAGGATGCAATACATCGGCAGCGATCGTGGAAGCTCGGGCAGCGGTCGTGGAAGCTCGGGTGACTTCGTTGTGTGAAACGAAGTTCGTTGTAGGAATCATGAAATGAAGTTCATTGTGTGCAGCGTTCGCTGTGCGAGGCGTTCTTTATGCGAGGCACCACTGCATTTTGTTTAATTGTTGGGGGCGTCTAAGACCTCTGTCTTTGTGGGTGGTGCTCGGGGTGGATGTGAGAATGTTACAGCTGTGCTCCCACCCACGAGGGCACCTGCAGACCCAGAAAGTGCAGGTCAATGATCAAGCTGTGCCTGAAATCCACTCCACAACAGGACTTTGCGCATAGATGAGCCAATCACATGTTTTTGTTTAAATCGGTTTGTTTTCTGTGTTTTTTTAATTTTTATTTTTGTAAACTTGGTACTTATGGAGGAGAGACTGTTCCATGATGTAACTGCTGCTGGACCCGTGAACTGGACCAGGCCAGAGCAAAGACTGCTTACTGCAACCCCCGTAGAGACTGATCATAACTGCTGTTCATTCTGACATAAGTGAGCACCCTTACCTGCCTCCCCCGAAGTGCTGGTTCCCGGGACAGGCTGCTGTCCTGACCTGGTCACGCATGTAGAGTAATGTCCCATACCTGGTAGCATTTCACACACTAGTAGGTGTGACTATTTGCTCCTCACCCAGGGACCCATTTCATCTTGGGAAATTCAGGGCATATATTCATATATGCATTTTTGTGGCGAGCAGGTCTGGCGCTTCCATCCTATTTTAAAGGGGTGTATCTCCCCCAAATGTGATGGGCTCTCTAGCCTTCAGAGTCTGGGCTCTTTAGCGCTGCCTGGTGTGCCTACCTTCCCAGGCCCCCTGTCTGCTCCTAGCCTCTGCGGACGCACGTCCTGTCTCTGTCACCCTGTAGCTCCGGCTTTAGCATGGGGTCAAGCAGGGAGGCTGAACTCAATGCTCGCTGGAGCTTTTCCGTCTGTCATGTGCCCCGAACCCTTGACCATTCCCTCCGGAAGCCTTGAGGATGTGAGAGGTGGCATCGGGCACAGTCCCAGGGGCCCTCAGCACACCCCACCCCACCCAGCAGCAGCTGGGCCCCAGCCCGCCCGCACCTGGAAGTACTGGTTCTCCTGCACCAGGCTCTCATTGGACAGAATCTTGTTGATGGTGATTCTCTTGCTGCTCATGCCGCCCAAGCCTGTGGGGATCAGAGGACAGGATTCGGTTTAGCCTCGGGTATGCCAGCTTCTGGGCTGACTGCTAGGGCGAGGGGGATGGGGCTGGGAACAGGCTGGGGCACAGGAGGGCAATCCTGGGAGAAATGAGGCTCCTTCTGCCTGGGGATGGTAGCACACACTCCTTTCTGGGGGGGTGGGAGGGTGGGGGGGAGGAAGGCGTGTCCCCCAGGCCAGCGAGTGGGTGGCAGCTGCCTTGCTCTCTCTCTGGCCAGAGGGTGGGGAGGCACAGTGAGCCACCTGAGTCTCCCACCTGGAGCCTGTTCTGAGCATGAGCAGCCCTCCGGGGTGAGGATGGCAGGAGCAAGATGCCCAGAGGTGTCACCCTCCTGTTTCCCAGACCTGCCTCACGCTCGGCCCCTGCCCTGCTCTGTGCCGGCCTCTGCCTCCTATCCCACCACGTGGCCCATGTGGTTTCTGCCCTGATGAGTAGCACCAGGTGCTCAGCGAGCACCTACTGTGTGCAGACACACTTCCGGATGTTTTGCATGGATCACCTCAGTCACCTTCCCACATGGCTAAGAGCTAGAGTGAAAGGCGAGGAAACGGAGGCACTGAGAAGTAATATGACTCGGCCACGGTCTCAAAGCTAGTGCACATCCTGGGAAGGGTCTCTGACACATGGTACTTCCCAGCCTATAGCTTGTCAGTGCAGACAGACCAGGGCTCTCCCCCTGTACCCGAGCTGTGTTTGTACAAAGATAATGGCTTTTAGATCTTATGGATAGCGTTGGAGGCATGTTTAATATAGAACGGAGTCTCCAGAAAGTCAAGACTCACGCCTGCCAATCCCAGAAAAGAAAGTTCCATCGGTGAAGGATGAAAAAGGACAGTGCGACCTTAAACGGGTCCTGCCTGTCCTAGCCAGCAGTCCCTGCCAGGAACCCTGCCTTTGCTCGGGGAGGGCAGCCATGGGTCTAAGCCCGCCAAAGCGGGGAGCCTTTTGGAAACAGATAGACTGGAGAAAGCAACCTGCAAGCGACCAAAAGTAACTCAAGAAAAGCCTAAGAAACTGCCCTGGCCCGTCTGACCTGGTCACTCTCCGCCTGACCCGCTGTCCGTCTGTCCATGATTAATTTAAGAGCAAACCTCCCCCTCCTGTGTCTGTCCCAGTTCTGGGTGGCTGTCAGGGACGCAGGGAAGTCCCACCCTGGGACTGACTGGTGGATGCAGAGCAGGCCTGCTGACGCCCCCTTTTCTTCCTGCCCCTCAGATGCAGGGTGAATGCTTCTCTCTTTCTCCCGTTCTAAAACACGAGCTCCCTGAAGGCAGACTGTACGTCAGTTTTGAACCAGCTCAGGCTCCCCTGGGTTGGGGCCATTTAACGTTTGTTCCAGGCTCCGGAGGAGCCCCTGGCGCTGCTGCTGACACACCAAGGAGCCACGGGCAGCTCACAGTCCAGGATGCTTCCCCCCACGGAGACAGCCTGGAGCCGACCAGATGCCCCGGAGCTGGGTGCTCAGGGACAGGAGAGAAGCCCCAGGAGAAATCCCTGTTACCCTTAGAATATAACGTGTCATCAGCCCATCCTCCCCAGGGCCTCTCTGGGGGTTCAGGCCCCGCTCCCTGCCCAGGCCCCGTGGGCGCTCACCTTTATTAAAAAAAATTTTTTTTAATTGATTTTTTACAGAGAGGAAGGAAGAGGAACAGAGAGTTAGAAACATCGATGAGAGAGAAACATCGACCAGTTGCCTCCTGCACATCCCCCACCGGGGATGTGCTCGCAACCAGGCACACGCCACTGACCAGAATCGAACCTGGGACCTTTCAGTCTGCAGACGGATGCTCTATCCACTGAGCCAAACCGGTTTCGGCGTGCACTCACCTTTAAACATGACGGCCTCGCCGTGGCCTTCCTTCTGCTTCTCGCGGAAGAGCTTGTAGCAGGCCGAGGTGCTGGCCATGAGCATCCGAAATTGCTGCAAGGGGGACAGTGTCAGCCGAGGGGAAGTGGCCGCTGAGCGGGAGGGAGCCCTGACCTGAGGACACGGAGCCTGTCTGCCCCTGTCTGCCGCCTCCCCACGCCCAGGGGCCGCCGCGTGGCACAGGCCGCCTGGGGGGCTTTCTCATGTCAGAGGAACATTTCCCGCCCTTCCTGCTACAGAGATCCCTCCAGGGGTCAAAGCTCAGTCACGGGTGGCCTTGGACGCAGGGAGGAGCTTCTTCAAGTGGCCAAGAGGCCGGGCCATGTGCACACGATTCCCAGGGTACGAAGTTGCAGCCATTCCTTTGACTCCAGAGAGTGAGAGAATCTCTTTCCAGAGCCCAGGCCGCTACGCATGCTCTCAGGGGGCGTTATGGCCAACGCAGTATCCCCTAGCCTGTGCAGCTATTGGACATCTGAACTGCGCCTAGCCGGAACTGAGATGCTAAGAGGAAAGACACACACCAGATTTGAAAGACTTATGAAAAAAAGAATGCAAAGTCTATCATGGCTAACGTGGAAAGGCTAATATTTTGGAAATATTGGGTTAAAAATTTAGCTCAGCCAGTGTGGCTCAGTGGCTGAGCATCGACCTGTGGACCAGGAAGTCACCGTTCCATTCTTGGTCAGGGCACATGCCCGGGCTGCAGGCTTGATCCCCAGTAGGGGGCGTGCAGGAAGCAGCTGATCAATGATTCTCATCATTGATGTTTCTATCTCTCTCCCCTTGTCCTGTCCTCTCTGAAATCAATAAAAAGATATTAAAAAAAAAAAATGTAGCTGCTACACCTACACCATACAAACCACCTTTGGCCTCATTCCTTCTTCCACTTCCTCTAGATCCCACCCTCTGCTGACAAGTACATGGGTCCTCCGCCATCCCAGTCACTCCAGCCTCAGGAGCCAGCTCACCTTTGTGCCCGGGATGGGGACGAAGGTCATGAACTCGTCCACGTGGCCCACGGTCAGCCAGTCTGAGTACAGCTCCACGGGCGCCTGCACCTGCTGGGCCTGCAGGAATTCCCTCACGACCTTGGTCATCCTCCGACCGCCGGACCTGGGGCAGAGTGGGGAGGAGGCAGCATTTTAGAAGATTGCCCATCATGCCTGCCTCACCAGGGTGGCATCAGCAGAGCAGTCACAGGAAGGAGCCCGCGCTGCAGGCCTGAGAGAACCTGGTGCAGGCAGGGAGGTGTTTAAGCCAAGGGGACAGAGGGAGCATTCGCTGCAGCTAGAGCCTGCGCAAAGGGCCTGGAGCCCAGCCTTCAGCCCCTGCTTCTGTCTCAGGGGTCCCGCCTGGACGGTGGAGGGGCTAGGACACAGGCATGGTTCCAGAATCTGCCCTAGCCTTTGTGCCTCTTTGCTACATTAACTCCTATTTAATTCATTTTTAATCTATTTAAGTGACACCTCCTCCAGGAAGCCCTTCCTGATTTTCAGGCCCCTTAAGGTCTTTGATCTCCCCATTACCCTTAGAATATAACAGAAGGTCCTTATGGTAGACCACAAATTCCTCTCTGATCTGGCCCCTGCCTGAGTCTCCTTCCTCATGTCCCCTTCTTCCACCTTGTTCTGTTTGCTCCATCTACCTGCTAAGCTTGTTATCACTCAGGGCTTTGCCCCTGCTGCTCCTTCTATTTGGAATGTTCTTTCCCTCTGATCTCCCCACGGCTGCCTCTTTTTCATCATCCAGCCCTCATTTTCATGTTACTTTCTCAAAACCACAAACGCTAAAGTACCCTTGCCCCATCACTCTTATTTTATCTTCTTCAGTGTATTTATTAGCACCCAGAGGCATCTTATTTACTTTCTTGCTTCCATGTTTATTTCCTGTTCTCCCCCACCCTGATACAAACTCCCAGATAGCTGAGACTTGGTCTGTTTGGCTCACTGCTGTGTCCCCAGAGCCTAGAACAATGCCTGGTCACAGAGAAGCCTCTCAATAAGTACAATATTTGTCTCTGCAAGCCCTCTCTGAACTCCCCATGGGGGCCAGAGACACCCTCCTTGGGTTCCTCGGGCTCCCTAACATCCCTATGTCACTGTACACCCCTTGTTTCATGTCTGTTCAATCCCCAGTTCCTTGAAGGCAAGGGCGGGGCTTCCTGTTTGGAGCCTCATGCTGGACACAGGGCATGGCACTTGGCTGGTGCTTGGGAAATACCTGCTGAATGGATGAGGCTACTGGTGGAGGGAGAAGGACAGAAAGGTGGGCAAACGGTCACTGACGTGCCAGTGGCCTCCACTGAGAAGGTAGGGATCCCATGTGGCTGAGGAACTTGGTGCACAAACCCTGGCTGGTCCCCTTTGGGCAGGTTCCTGGCAGCCCTTTTGTGAAGTGAGGACCCACAGCACTCACTACCTCCCCAGCGACTGCCCTGACCAAGGGAGACTCTGCCTTTTCATTGACGGGGGGTGGGGGGGTGGGCATCTGGGGATGGAAGGAGGGTGCTGTGGACAAGCCATGGAGCCAGGCACTCAGGCTTTGGGGCAGGGCCATGCCGTCTTATGACTCTTGTGTATGGCCCCTCTAGGACTGGTTGGTGTGCTCCCAATCCCCTCTTTCAGTGTTCCATCTCCAGATGCCTTCATCCCAATCTCACTGTAGAACCTCCACTTTCGGGAAGATCACTTTTTTTTGTTCTTTTTTAAAAAAAAATATTTTATTGATTTTGTACAGAGAGGAAGGGAGAGAGATAGTTAGAAACATCGATGAGAGAGAGTCATCGATCAGCTGCCTCTTGCACACCCCCTACTGGGGATATGCCCGCAACCAAGGTACATGCCCTTCACCGGAATCGAACCCGGGGCCCTTCAGTCCCCAAGCCGACGCTCTATCCATTGAGCCAAACGGGTCTCGGTGGGAAGATCGCTTTTTATTTAGTTTTATATTTGACCCTAATTTATGCTGAGATGCACCGGCTAACTTGGTTTTCTTTCCCTAAATGTCTGTATCTCGTCAGAGAGTCAAGGGAGGGGTTTGCTCTCTCAGTCATTTGCTCCACATATGAGCAACCCAAGCCACTCCTAAAGAGACAGACACCTCCCCCCCGCCCGCCCCCAGCCCCACCCTGGCTTCTCTTACAGAGGAAAGCTGCTCCCGATGAGGATCCGGCCCAGGGGGTAGGTCTTGCCGTTCACGGTCACTGGGGGACTGACCTCCAGGTTCCCAAAGGAATCGAGGCTGGTGACAGGCTCAAAGAGGGACTCCCGGGACACATAGCCGAAATCCGGGCCCTAGGCAGGGGGCACACACCCATCGTTAGTATCCTGCGGCCACAGGGTGTCCTTAGCCCCGACGCGGTCACCTTCTGATGATCACGCCTTGATGGCCTTAGGTCTGGCATTGTGGGCACGTAGCCTCTGGGCGGGGGTCACCCATGGTCTTCTCATTATCACCAAAGAGTAGAGCCTGGCTGGGGGAGGTTGATTTTGTGGGCATGTTGGTGTGAGTGTGGGCATGAACGTGGGCATGAACGTGGGCATGAACGTGGGCATGAACGTGTGTGTGTGTGTGTGTGTGTGTGTGAATGCGCACATATGTGTCTGAGTTTCTGCATGTGCCTCTGTTTCCCAAACAGGATGGTACTTCAGTGATTTCAGGATTAGTCCTCACTTTGTGCTATGGATGTCCCTGCCCATCTCTTCGTTTCTCTGACCCTCAGTTTCCCCAGCTGTCAGAGGTGTTGGGTCAGGTAACCTGCGGCAAGGTGGTAGATGGTATTATTGCTCCCAGAGACTTCTCAGTGAGAGGATTTTGCCTCCTGAGCTATTGCTGTGTGGCTTCTGGTTTCTCCCTGTAGAATATACTTCCCTGCCCAGTATCAGACTTGGTCATATGACTTGTTTTGGCCAATGAAATGTGAGCAGAAGTTCCGCATGCCAGTTCAGAGCCAAAGCCACAAGGCCCACTGGGCATGCCTGTCACCTCTCTCCATCCTCGTGCTGGGAGGATGGCATTGCTCAGACTTGAGCTGCTCCTGCAGCCTGCGCTCTAGAATGAGGAAGGAACAAGGAAGCAGAGCTGCAGACAGCCAACCAGCAACCAACACGAGTGTATGCAGGAAATGGACCTTTGCTGTTGTCAAGCACTGAGATTTGGGGGTTGTTTGTTACTGCAGCCTTACCTAGTGAAAGCTGACTGATACATGCAGGCATGGCAGGTAGGGGACATATGGCATTCCAATCTGTCCCCAAACAACCATATTTGTCCACTGAGCCCAGATGTAGCCTCAGAATCCTTCTTAGCACAGGGCTCTGGAGCTGGCATAATTCCAGGGGTCCCCAGTTGTTATAACCTTGGTGACTACCTGAATTTTATGGTTCCTTTTATGATTTTTTGGAAAAAAAAAAAAAAAAAGTAGGGGTCTTGCTTGGGAACTTGCACTGGGCTGGGATTAAGCTTGTCTGACAAAAATCCTTGTAATAAAAAAAAAAAAAGTGAAGGGGAAAGATATATGGCTTATCCTGGCCCAGCTGAGAGGCTCCAGGGACAGCCGTGGCGGGTGGTATGGACGGATGAAGCTTAGAGCTTTCTCGCCTGGGAGCCCAGATGGCAAGGTGCGGTCTGCCGGAGGCTGGGGCAGCTGGGGCAGCTGGGGCTTTACAGCGTCACACAGGCGGGCAGGCACTCAGCACAGAGCCGGGCTTGGCACAGGCCTCCGGGAACAATGCAGCCCAGGGCTTTGCAAGCAGGCAGCTAACCCTGAAGGCAGGTGGTGACCCAGGGACCGTGCGAGGGCCTGGGAAGCCTCGGTTCTCATGCCTGCAGCAGGCCGGTTTGACTGCCCCTTCCACTGCCCAGGGCTGTGAACAACAAACATAACGACAGCTAGCGATGGGCAGTGTATCAGGTGCAGTACGGATGCCTGAGAGGACGCCTTCGATCTTCCTGTGAGATTGTTTCCATGGATACTGTTTCCATCCCCATTTTACAGATGAGCAAGCTGAGGCTTCAGGCCACTCGTAAAGAGAGTGAGTTGCTTGCCCAGACCGGGACTCAAGGCCCGGTCCGCCTGACATTCCAGAGCTTTGCACTCACACCAAGGGGTTCCCCATCTCCCCTGAGGAGGGGGATAGGTGAATGAAGGTTCATAAGAAGCAGGTGTGAATCTGGCAAGGGGTCGCCTCTGAGTAGCTCTGATGCCTTGGGCAGGACATTAAAGAGGAGTGGAAATGGGGGTGTCAAATTGCCTAAAAAATAACAAATGCAGCCCTACCGGTGTGGCTCAGTGGTTGAGCGCTGAACCATGAACCAAGAGTTCGATTCCCAGTCAGGGCACATTCCCAGGTTGTGGGCTTGATCCCCAGTGAGGGGTATGCAAGAAACAGTTGATCAATGATGTTTCTCTCATTGATGTTTCTATTTTTCTATCCCTCTCCCTTCCTTTCTCTCTAAAAACTCAATGAAAACATTTAAAAAACAAAACACCGTTTTCATGAACTGTGAAGTTGTAACCATGATTTTTGACAATTTCTTGACTATAATTTTCCTCTTGGAAACTTATTTCGCTGCAAGTTGGGGGTGGGGCAGTGGCAGAAGTCAGGGCCCCTGACCTGCCTTTGTGACACACAGTTCCTACTTCTCATCTAACAGAAAACCCTCCATTTGTTGGAAATGCATCAGTTACCAGAGCAGAACAGGCCCTTAGAGATCACTATTCCAACTGACCCATTTCGCAGGTGGGAAAACGGAGGCTCTGGGCAACAGACTAATTTGTCAAGGGTGCCAAGGTCTCCTGACCACTCCGTCCTGTGAGAGTCCCCAGGACCGCGCCCCTCCTCGTCCCAGCGCCTCACCAGGAGCTGCTTCACTGGGAACTCCTTCAGGTTTCCATCTCGGGGGGAGTCCAGCACCACGGGGAAGCCTTTGTGGGGGGCCTCGATGTAGCCAAACTCGATTTCATCCTGTGGGGACACCAAGGGGAGCCATCAGAGGAGTCAGAGCACCACCTGTGAGTCCCAGGCGGCATCCCCAATTCTCTTCCTGACCGCAGATGACAGCTCTGGTTCTGTTCCTATGCACCCTTCCATGGACAGGCTCTGCACACGCCAAGCATGTGAGTGCTCATATGATCCCTGCTTTATAACATCCTCCTGCAAGAAACACCTTAACATGGAATTCATGCTTTATTTGCAGTTGGCTTCTTCCTGGCTGCTGTAGGCTCCTCCACCGGAAGGCTGTCCTATCATATGTGTGCCCCTCACCCCGTCCCTCATGGAGGGACATTTGGGTTGTTTTACAGGCTTTTGCTGCCTAGGCTGCAGCGAACCGCCTTATGCATGTATGTCTGTGAGCACATGTGCGTGCGTGAGCTGACGGCAGCATTCCCACACGTGCTTGGCACGGCGCGGTGCCAGGATGGTGACGTTAAGCCCTCTCCTTGCCTGAGCCCTGGGTGGTGCCCGCCCAGCCCGGCTCCTCACCTGGATCCAGCGGTCTCCGCAGTTTATGTACTGGAAGCAGACCTTCAGCTCGCAGTTGGTCTTCTCGACCAGATTCTTTACCTCTTTCAGGAACAGGTAATTGTCCTTCATGCTGAGAAGTTTAGGGAGAGGGGAAGGCCGGGAGGAAGGGTGAGGAGGGATTGAGGTGGTACCCAGAGGCTGTGCAGGCAGGTGAGGCCACACCTGTGTTCAGTCACCTTTGCAAAGGCCCTTGGACTCAAGGGCCAAGCAAACACCCACACACACGGTGTTTGCCAAGGTCTTGAACAAATAAAATGAGGGGGACTGGGACTCTCACCCCCATTTGTCCTGAAACCTTGTCTCTGACTCCCCCGGATTCCAAAGAGGAGCTCTGCTTAGTACGGAGGCCGGGGATGGGTCTGGACCCCAGGCCCTTGGGTGTGGCCAGCACCCACCTGCAGGCACTTCCTTCTCCTGCTTTTCATCTTGCTACAGCTGTCTAGCACATAGTAGGTGCTTAATAAAAAAAAAAAGGTGAATATCTATTGCACAGGAGGTTCCCAACTTCACAGCATGGGCCAAGAGTAAGAAAAGAGACTTATTTTTAGAGCGAAAACTCTGTGCCATGACTTTGGATGGATGCTTTGTCTGATTGGTCTCATTTAATCCTCACAGAGATGCTGTGATGTTAGCATTTCAGAGAAACGGAGGCTCATAGAGGCCAAGGGAGTTTTGCAAGACCTGAACCCAGGTCTGTTTGCCCTGAAGGCTCAGTGATAGCCACTCTGCCACACTGCCCGTCTGCACCATGGCCACTGCTTACCAGCACACATACACGGACACGGGAGGCAGGATGTTGGGGGTCATGATCCACGGAGCAATCCGGAACACCACGGTGTCCGTGAAGATGGGTGTCAGCGGAATCTCCTGGCGTGGGAGAGAAGGGGAGGGGACCCAAAAGTCTCCTCAGGGTGCTTGTCACTCCTGCCTTCCCAGGTGGGGGACACTGATAGCAATAGTACATTTATTGAGCGCCTACTGTGTGCCAGGCCCTGTGGGGGTTTTACACGCACCGACTCATTTCTACATTACCCCAGGAGGTAGATACACTATCACCCTTGTTTTACAGGTGGGGAAACCGAGTCACAGACCTCGGAGTCACAGACCTCTTCCGTAGCTGCCCAAGGGCACATGGTTAGTGAGTGGTAGAGGCTGGATTTAAACCCAGGCTGTCTGCCAGCTGAGAGCACACTCCTGACACTTTCTATTTTTTTTTTAATAAAATATATTTTATTGATTTTTTACAGAGAGGAAGAGAGAGGGATAGAGAGTTAGAAACATCGATGAGAGAGAATCACCGACAAGCTGCCTCCTGCACACCCCCTACTGGGGATGTGCCCGCAACCAAGGTACATGCCCTTGACCGGAATCAAACCTGAGACCTTTCAGTCCGCAGGCTGACGCTCTATCCACTGGAGCCAAACCGGTTTTGGCACTCCTAACGCTTTCTGATCTTGCCCCACCCAAGTTCTCTTCCTGAGGCCGGCCCACATGGTCCCGCCCAGGCTGCCTTGGAGTCTCTGCGGTGCCCCTTGGTGGGGGCAGTCTGAGACCCTGGAGGCCAGGCCCCCTCCCCACACGTGCTGTTAGCGGTGCCTTTCCTGCCTTCCCTTTCCGCACGGACCTGAGGGTGCTCTGTGAGCGAGTTCTTACACAGCCAGCCCAGGAAGGAGGAGCTTTAGTTGGAAACCGAGGCCCAGGGAGTCAGTTCGCCTGCCAGGTGTCTCATGGGCCTGAACTTGGGCAGTCTGACTCCAGAGCCCGTTCTGGTCAACGTAAGCTGGACCCAGCCCCCTCGGAATGTGAATGGTGGGGGCATCTAGGTCTCCAAGCTTGGACTCTCCCTTGGTGCTCTGAGGGGAGTGGAGCACAGAGGGGGAGAGCGGGGGGAGGGGATCCTGGGCTTGGCCCTCTGGAAGGAGCCCCCTGGTGCCCAGGGGCAGCCCTGTGAGGGGGAGCCGGGGGCCCTCACCTCGCTCACGCACTCCAGCAGGCTGACGTGGATGGAGACCAGGCCCGGGAAGCCCGCGTCGGGGAAGCATAGGCCTTCCACGAAGAACAGCAGCTCCGCCGAGCCGCCCGTGTACTTGACCACGTGGTAGAGCTTCTGCCGGCCCAGGATGTGGATGTAACGCTGGCCAAAGAACGGGTCTGGAGGGAGAAGGGCCGATGTCGGAGCCCCGCCCCACCAGGAGGAGGTCAGCGAGGTGGGGGTCACGGACGGGGGACACGAGGGCAGAGGAACTTGTCCTCCAGATGAAGAGAGGAAAAGCACAAGCAGAAAAGCCACCAGAGGGGCCGTGGCCTGGTCACTGTCCCAGCATTACTGTGTGCTAGCCGCGTGGCCCCGAACCAGACAACCTCTCTGGCTTCTGGCTTCCTTGTCTGTAAAGGAGCAAACACTGATCGTGGTTTGATTCCCGGACAGGCCGTATGCCTGGGTTGTGGGCTCCAGCCCAGCGTGGGGGAGTACAGGAGGCAGCCGACCCATGATTCTCTCTCATCACTGATGTTCTCTCTTCATCTCCTTTCTCTGAAATCAATGAAAAGGGTATTAAAAAAATGAAAATAAAGGGAGCCAACTTCCCCAGGATGGTGCTCATGGATGACGGCAGAGGACGGCTGAGCAGCCAGTGACTCTGAGAAAGCCATCCTTCTTCCTGTTTTAGGACGAGGAAACCGAGCAGCAGAAAGGAGAAATGGCTTGTTCGCGGTCACGTAGCCAGTAAGTGGCTGAGCTGGGGCTCAAAGTCACGTCCAGTCCCGAACCCCAAGCTCCCTTCCCCGTTACAGAATAAAACACAGGGTGCCCATTTGTACCCAAATCCCCTCCAGGCAATCTTGGAGGGGAATTTCTGCGTCAAGACCCAGGCGTGGGTCCCTGGCTGTCCCTGGGAGGACAGGCAGGTGTGTCCCGTGCTGCTCCTCTGCTTGGAACCACCGTCTCCCCCCTTTCAGGCCTCCATTTGTGTCACTTTTAATTTTTTTAATTTGTGTCACTTCTGAGAATTGTGCCCGGGTCCCTCAGAGACCAAGCCACGGGCTCTGTCTGGAGCCTCCGCAGCCCCCGTCCTTCCACATCCCAGCCTTTCTGAGTGGCGTTGACCGCAGTGTTCACTGTGGGCCCCAAGAGGCTGTCACTTTGTGGGGGCAGAGATGGGTCCAGCCGGTCTGGCTCAGGGATTAATAAATATCTACTGAACCGCTGGCTCGCATATGGCTCCCATCCCGCACCCTGTAGGAGAATTTTAGGCCAATTCAGAGCGCATGCATTGACTCATTACTCTGTGACCAGCATGGGCAAGGGCTTTGGGGGAGAGGCCCAGCATCTCTGTTGAAGAGCAGCGCTCCGCTGATGGTAAGACAGAACAGAGCTGTGGGGGAGCGAGCCCACGGGGTTACTGGGGTGGGGAGGGCAGGGCAGGGAAGGAGGCAGGATGGGAAGAAGCATTTGAGCCGAGGGGGCAGGCTTTGAGATGTCCTCAGGGGTGGCGGAGGTGGGGGCAATGAGGAGAAGGGTACTTGCATTGGCAAAGCCATGGGCGTAGGGCCCTACGCAGCTCCAGAAGGAGTTTCTTTATACCCCGCAGAGCTGGAAGGGCAGAATCAGACTCAGCTTAGCGCTATGGTCACCAACAATGGTAATGGTTAGTGACCGGTCGCCCAAGGGTTAGGACATGTAACCAGAACAGTCCTGGCACAAACAGGGGGGCTGATTAAAACTTGCAAAATGAATGACGGAACCACTGCAGCCCAGGCTTCAAATGGCTCCTCACGTAGGACAATGTGCGGCACATGACCCTGGTCAGACAGGGCGGGACGGACATAGGTTTACAGTTGTTCATATGGAAAATAGTACGATAATCTATATATCTATATATCTATATATCTATATATATACCTATCTATCTATCTATCTATCTATACTGTATATATTGAATATATATATATATAAAAGCCTAAGCAACCATCCGACCATTCAACTGTCCAACCGGTAGCTGCGATGCGTAATGACCACCAGGGGGCAGACGCTCTGATGGGTAGCTTTGATGCGCACTGACCACCAGGGGGCAGACACTCAATGCAGGAGCTGCCGAGCTGTGGTGTTTTGACAGCTGTGGTTCTTGGGTAACGCACCCGGAACCAGAGAGGAGAGAGCCTGATTCTGGGGTCCATCACCTGAGAACCACCCTCTCGCAACCCGGGACTCCTTGGGGGATGTTGGAGAGCTGGTTTTGGCCTGATCTCCACAGGCCAGGCCGAGGGACCTCACTGGTGCATGAATCCATGCACTGGGCCTCTAGTTTATAAATAATAACACAAGAATAAACTCCGTGTTTTGAGTATTCACAACTGCAAACCTACTTTTTCCCCAGCCTGCATACCTCACTGAGGGCGGTCACTTAGCGGTTATGGCTTCCACAGTCCGAGAGACCTGGGTTCAAATGTCACTCTGGCTTTCTACGCTGTGAAACCTCAGGGATTTCACTTACCCTCTCCTCCCCTCAGTTTATTCATCTGTTAAGTGGACGATAACAATACCTATGCCAGTGGGCCATTGCAAGATAAAAGGACACAGCATCAGTAACTTCGGTAAACTTAGTATCGTGGGTAACCACTGGCAACCCAGCTGGGACCTGTGGCTACCGCTACACTGAGAACCGTGAATGAGTCAGCACACCCCTGACTGCAAAACCCATGACCTTTCACCTGGCTGGTGGAGCTCATTGGTTGAGCATCAACCTATGAATCAGGAGGACATGGTTCCATTCCTGGTCAGGTCACATGCGGGCTTGACATCCGGTGGGAGGTGTGCAGGAGGCAGCCGGTCGATGATTCTCTCTCATCATTGATGTTTCTTTTTAAAATATATGTTTATTGATTTCAGAGAGGAAAGGAGAGGGAGAGAGAAATAGAAACATTAGAACCATCAACGATGAGAGAGAATAATTGACCGGCTACCTCCTGCATGCTCCCGGCTGGGGATCGAGCCTACATCGGGCATGTGCCCTTGACTGGAATCGAACCCAGGACTCTTCAGTCCACAGGCCAACGCTCTGTCCACTGAACCAAACCAGGTAGGGCATCATTGATGTTTCTCTCTCTCTCTCCCTCTCCCTTCCTCCCTGAAAAAAAAAAAAAAAATCAAATCATGACCTTTTCATCAAACGGCTCATGAACAACAGAAGCCAAAGAGATAACACCTCCCACCACCTCCCCTTGGATGGGTCCAAGAATGAGGCATAAAGGCTCAGGCACTGAATGTTCCAAGGAACTCGCCACAGCCCTGTGCAGAAGGTCCTCCTCATTCAGCAAGGACAGCGTGTGCCTGTGTCCCAATCTGCATAACTAAAAACATCCCCCCTCAGCACTCAAGCTCGTCCACGCCCACACACCAGGCAGCACCTGAACTGCCCACACACCCAGGCTGCACTGGAACCGATAGATGCTCAGGGGGAGAGATCTCAGGCCTAGGAGGTGACTGGTCTTTGCAGAAAGCTCCAAAGCTATGGTGGGGGTGGGGCTCCACCAGGGCCTGGGGAGGGGCAGGGGCCTGGCCAGGGGAGCGGGGTCAGGTGGAGGGACATGATCTTGCCCATCTGTGTGCAGCTTTTTCCCTCTCCTGGCCGGCGATCTACAGTTGTTTCTCGTTCTGGCGGACTGGGCGGCTCTAGGCAGATCAATTACTCCATGGGAACAATCTAGCCACTGTCCCCAGCTGGGTGCAGGCCGGCCTGGGCATGGCTGGCTGTCCCTACAGGAACCAACAATGCCCCTTTATGGAGCGGCCACATGCCTTGGAGCCAGGTCCGCCGGCCACCCTGACCTCTCCTTAGCCCCAGCCCTTGGCCCTGCCCGGGCGTGCGGTGTGATTTGGCACAGCCCTTCTGGTCACTTTGGAGATATTCCACCTCCCAAGGAGACTCCTCAGGGTGACAGTGTGAGCCACTGCCCTGCTGTGCCGGGGACTGAGGGGATTCCCGGGGGGATGGATTTCCAGTGCTAAACCTAGAAAGGTCTTGGGCAAATGGACACGCCGGTCTCTGTATCGTTGGTAGGAAGAGGGCAGGTCCCAACTCTGGGACCCTGGGGCCGAAGCTGAGGCTGCATCTTCCTAATGGCATTTGAGACTTCTAATGATTATTAATAATCATCATAATAATGCCAACAAAAGCAACAAGTGCCATCTAGAGAGAGCGCTCCACGGACCAGCTACTGTGCCGAGGGCCTGACACTCACTCCTCTTGAGTCCCCATCACCAATGGCTCAGCTAGGCCTCTTGTCCCCAAATCATATCACAAATGAGGAACACGAGATCTGGATATGTTAGACTTGCTTAGATCTGGGGTTTGAATCTCCTGGGCTCCAGAGCTCCCCTTTTGGAGTCCCTAGCCTCCAGTCCAGCCCCCTGCCTGATGGGGAACTCAAGAAGTTGAGTATTTTTGTTTTAGTTACATACTTACCAGGCCTGGTGACTGGTGCATGGAGAAGCTATTGTTCCGGGGCCAGGGGTGTATGACGGGACCTGCCCTGACTCCAGGAGACCAGCAGGCGATCCAACCTCCGTGCCCCTGAAGGGCTGCAAGCCACCGAGATGGTATCTGAGCCATTGTGCTCCAGGGAGAGAGTGTGCCCGCCTGGGAGGCAGATGAAGAATCACCATCTAGCCCGGCTAAGGTGGCTCAGAGGTTGAGTGCCAACCTATGAACTAGGAGGTCATGGTTCAATTTCTGATCAGGGCACATGCCCAGGTTGCAGGCCTGATCCCCAGTAGGGGGCGTGTAGGGGCAGCTGATCAATGATTATCTTTCATCATTGATGTTTCTCTCTCTCTCCCTTCCTCTCTGAAATCAATAATATCTATCTATCATCTATCGATCTATCTATCTATCTATCTATCTATCTATCTAAAAGAATCACCATCTGATTAACCTTTTCTCCCTGAATTCCAAGCTCTTTACCTACACTTTCCCCCCTCTTACTAAAAGGGTCCCCTTGAGATGAGATGGAAGATGATGTTTTTAGGATACAAAACTCACTATCTTCTCAGATCACTGGCCCTCTGAATTAAGCTCCCATAAAAATCCAATTCTTCTCTCTACTTGCTGGTTCTGGTAGTGACAGGTAGTAGGTAACACATGACATTCCTGTAACACAAAACACTCTCACCCACAGGTGTGCCTGGATTTTGATGCCACCCCAAAATGAGAAAAAGGAAAAAAGGGAGAAAAGGAAACAGCCACCATCCTTTCATGTGACCCCAGAGCACAGGACGATTTCATGTGACCCCAGGATGGAACGTTTTGTGGGAAACGGACTATTCTGGGATCATCGCTGTCTGTCTCTGCAATGCCACCCCCGCTGCAGGACGCCAGCCCAGTTAGCACAGACTGGGGACCGCTGTCCAAAGCATCCAAAGCGCTTGCGTGGTGATTACTCCTCATCTTGTCTGCTCCGGACCCATCTCGGGTGGCGAGGGAGGGGGAGGGGTGTGGTTACCGGGCCAGATCTCAAACCACTGCCATCAGTAAAGAGAGCCCTCTGGATAACACCCAGGCGTCACAATTCACTGCCATGATCAAGAAGCCCAGGTGAAGGTCCTGCCTGTACCCCTCCAGCCCCTGCCCACAGCTCGTCCCCCATGGCAACCCTGGCCTGGCTGGGGTAAACATCAACACTTCTGGCCCCCTGGGGCTGCAGAGCCGGCCTGACTCTGGGGACATTCCAACCTGTATGAGGTCATTGCCGAGCTCAGGGTGGATCCGGAGGAGGACTGGCTCCAGGTGGCAGCTGTCCATTGCTGTCCTGGCCAAATCACTCCCTGAGGTGAGGGTCCAGAGAGCCCTGTGACCAACTCCTCCAGGTGACTGCCCTGGCTGCAGTGGGCTGGTTTAGAGGTGGCCCCAGCGCTAGGCAGGAGATCCCGGATCTCCAGGCAGCTGGGCACGCAGGAAAGCCCCACCCTGCACCCAGGGCGAACTGCAATGCTAACTATTTTGCTTAGAGAGCATTTTAACACATAAATCAGCTCTTGACAGTCCCTTGCTTAAAACCCTCTCATGGCTTTCCACTGTGGTCAGAGAAAAAGCTGAGCCTTCTCTGCAGGCCCTGGCTCCTACCCAGTTCGCTGACCTTGATTCCAACACAGCTCCTTGCTCTGGTCTTCCTTCTGCTCCTCCAGGCTGGTTCCCTCCTCTGTGCCTTGTCCGTGCTGCTCCCTGTGCTTGGAACACGCTTCTCTCAGCTCATAAAGGGCTGGTTCCTCCTCATTGTGGGTTTGGGTCTCAGCTCAGCCACCTGCTCCAGCTGGCAGTACCTTACCTCTGCCCCGCACACTCTCTATCACGTGGTCTGTGTCATTTCCTCCGATCAGGCTCGTTCCCGTGTCTCCCTCACTGGACCGTCACTGCCCCAGGGCAGGGTGTGCTTGCAGAGTTCACTGTGGGAACCCCGGTGCTGGGAGCAACACCTGGCACTGAGGGCTCTCAACGCGTACGTACAGGGAGAATGGGTCAGAGCAGGTCACTCTGTGGTGGCAGCACGTTCCCTACACGGTGGGGCCCAGGGTGTCTGTCACAGACAAGAGGAGCAAGGGGGTCAGCCCCCTCAGGGTGCCCTCAGCAGTGCCAGGGGCTCTTTAAAAGTCGGAGGCATGCCTGGCGGGTGTGGCTCAGTGGTAGAGCGTCAATCTAGGAACCAGGAGGTCATGGTTCGATTCCCATTCAGGGCACATGCCTGGTTGTGGGCTTGATCCCTAATGTGGGGTGTGCAGGAGGCAGCTGGTCAATGATTCTCTTTCATCACTGATGTTTCCATCTCTCTCTCCTGCTCCTTATTTCTCTGAAAGCAATTAATATATCTATCTATCTATCTATCTATATATCTATATATCTATATAGATATCTATATATATATCTATATAGATATATATATAGATATATATATGTAATGCTGAGCTCCAGGAAATCCGAGATGGGCAAAACGCACCCAGGGGCAGATCCCTGCCTCAGGTATCATGAAGGTGACATGACCCCGGAAAAGGACCTCCCAAGGCTTTGGTCCCCTGGTTCATGGGGAAAAGGGCCTCTGGTTCTAACAGAACTTGTGGCACAACCACCCGCTTTGAGAGAGGGGAGCTCTGACTTCATGGGACAGCGATGCCCACTACCAGTAACGTGACTTAGTCATCGTTTCTGTTCCTAAGCGGCCCAGGCGCTTACTGAGGGGCCCGGGGCTCTCAGCAGCACCTGCCCCTGGCGGGCCTGGGAGCCTTGGAGGGCAGAGCTGGGCCCCCGGGGGGAGGGACAGCTCAGCGAGCGCTGAATGGCTCAGGACCGCGGGGGCTGGGCCGGCCCACTCACTCTCCACGTAGAACACGCCCACTCGGTCCGCGTCCGCCATGGAGATGTAGAGGACGATCTCGTATCCCGCGGGGAGGCGGTCGGGGCCTTTGGTCCGCAGGATCATCTGGGACATGTCCTTGAGGTCTGACGGGCGGACAGGCAGAGAGGTTAGGATGATGACACGCGGGGCTGCCAAGCTGGCTTACCAAGGGCTGTTGTTACCTTTCTAATCAGGACGGAGAAAACCCCACACGTGTGTATGATGGACACTATGGAAAGGCATAAACACCGGCTGGCATCCCTAATTCCACAGACAACCAGTAACCTCTGGGGAATTTCCTTCCAGTCTTTTTTCTACGTATTTAAAAACCATGGTTCCAATGGGACTATATGAGTAGTTTTGTCTTCCGTTTTCAGCAAGAGTGGCTGTTTGAGTCCTCCATCCCCAGGAGACCCAGGGTCACTCCTGCCTCACCCTCCGCCCAGCCCAGGACTTAGCAGGACTGCTTCCATGGCTCCTCCCTGCCCCCACCCCCACGTGCGGGTCCTGCGGGTACCGTTCTTGCTGTAGACCTTGTCGTCCTTGCAGTCCTCCTTGGACAGCCAGGGTATCTCCCGGTCACAGTTCACCAGCAGGATGGCTCCCTGGCCCTCGGGGCCCCAGGTCCAGGACGCCTGCAGGGGCAGGGGGAGAGGTTGGCTCTCTCTTCTATACCTTCTGGTAGACAGTCCCAGCCCAGACCTCACAGGACTCCAGAGAGGCAGCCCAGGAGGAGAATTAAAGAGCAGCTACCCCCCATCAGGGCAGCTGTGACCTGGCAGACTGCAATCCCACATCTGATGCCCAGAGACATCGGTGTAAGCACCGTCGGGAAGTCCAGGAGGCGGACGGATGGCGGCAGAGAGAGACAGGGACTGGAAGGCTCTGAGGCCCTCCTGAGCCTCATGCTGGATGTGCCTGAGCCCGGAGAGGGGTGGAGGCAGGCAGACAGAGGGCGGCCAGAGACAGGGCAGGCAGGCCTCTGCTACAGGCTCTGCAGTGCCCGGGGGGCTGAGGGGAAGACACCCAGATGGACAGACACCCAGTACTCCCAGACTCTCTCTAAGGGCCCCAATGGGCAATCCTTTTCTACCCAGCAGCCAGGGTGGCTCAGAAGGCACTCCACCCAGATCAGGTTGCTTTCCTGTTCCCACCCGGGTCGGGCGCTCCCTGTTGCTCAGGATAAGCCCCTGTGGCCTGCAAGGCCCAGAGAGACCTGCCACCTCTCCATCTGTGCCCCTACCTTCCTCTCACCCACTCTGCTCCCCGACACTGGCCGCCGTTCTGCTCCCCAAAGATGCCAAGCTCTCAGCCTGCGCTGCACCCGTCCCTCCACCTGGGTCGCTGTCCCGTCTCCCTTCACCTGGCCATTGCCACGCCTCCTCCCAGTCACAGCAAAGTGGTCCCCCTTCCCGGAAAGCCTTTATGACTCTCCATCCAGAGCAGCCTCCCTGGGTTTACACGTATGACACTGTCCATGCTCTTCTGGGGGCGGATTTAGGACAATTGTGATGAAACAGCCACCAGCGACATTCTTTACTTAATGTGGGTCTCCCTTTCCCCCCTCCAGTGGCCAGGGCCGGACCAGTCCTGGAATGTAAAATATGCTCAACAAATATTTAGGAAATGGTAAGTGAAATATGAAACGTCACTGGCCCTCACGGAGAAAGCCTGGTACGTTCAGGCCCTCAGGGACCGCGTGCCTTCACCAAGGCTGCTGCCCTCCGGCCAGGCCAGAGGCCTCTGAGGTCTCAGGGAGCCACTGACACAGAGACTGGGTGAGTGAGGTGGCCTCGGCTGCCTGGGGAAGGCAGGATCAGGGCAGAGCCCACTGAGGATCCTGGGAGAAGGGGTTCCCCCAAAGGCTTGAGGTCCCCCAGCAACAAGCAGGAATCTGGGGCCAGCAGCCAGTCCCCAGTGTCCTCATGGGGGCATTCAGTTAACTTTTTTAAAGTAAACATCGATGTATAATTGCAACCAGGCCTTAGATTGTTGTGGGAGATAATGAGAGGATGTAACAGAGAAAAGCCAAAGGGGCTTAAAGAACCGGGTTGAGGCAAAAGTACTGAACGGAATGAGGTCAAGAGCACAGTGCCGTTTGCACAAGTTAAAAATACATGCACCCCAACCAGCTGGCAGGCTTTGTAAGAATCATAGGAACAGAAAGGGACACAGTAAAGCCATTAGAATGGCCCTTTGTAGGGAGCAGAAGAAAAGCGAATGAAGGATGAATGAATGAATGAATAAGTGAACAGGAGTGAGGTTGTGCACGCAGCATTGAACTTGAACTGAGGGCATTAACGCAGCCTTCTGCTTCTGGTGCTCGGATTAAAAAAAAAAAGCAAAATAATAAGAGCAAATACTTGGTGGCACTTCCTCTGTGGCAGGACATTTAATTTCCCCACAACTTTCTGAACTGGGGTCCCCATCCTGTGGGGGGGAAACTGAGACGTGGGAGTCTGTCTCCACAGGAGTGTGGCTGCTCTGTGTGTCTATCTCAGTGTGGGGTGTGTGTCATGGTGTGTGGTGTGTCTGTCATGGTGTACGGTGTGCGGTGTGTCTGTCACGGTGTGCGGTGTGTCTCTCATGGTATGGGGTGTTGTGTCACGGTGTGTGGTGTGTCTGTCACGTTGCGTTGTGTGTCTATCACGGTGTGTGGTGTGTCTGTCACGGTGCGTGGTATGTCTGTCATGGTGTATGGTGTCTGTCACGGTGTGCGTGGTATGTCTGTCACGGTGTGTGGTGTCTGTCATGGTGTGTGGTGTCTGTCATGGTGTGCGGTGTCTGTCATGGTGTGCGGTATGTCTCTCATGGTATGGGGTGTTGTGTCACGGTGTGCGGTGTGTCTCTCAAGGTATGGGGTGTTGTGTCATGGTGTGCGGTGTGTCTGTCACAGTGTAGGGTGTCTGTCACGGTGTATGATGGTTCTCTCACTGTGTGGGGTGTGTCTGTTGCTGTGTGCAGTGTCTGTCACGGTGTGTGGTGTGTCGGGGAGCCTGTCCCGGGCCCTGTTCTCCTCCTCTGAGACTGACAGCTGCCTGTGTCTCCTGGGAGGACCAGGCTGTCGTAGGATCCAGCTTGGGGCTCTTCCCCAGACACCCCCAGTGAGTCTGCCTGGTAGTGAGGTACCTTTTTTGGGTTGTTCTTCTCGACCACGCCGTCCCGGTCTGCGTCCACATCCAGGGAGAGCTCTGGGGACAGACACACGGGCGAGTTGTTGAGCCTGCCAGGCAGGGTGGGGCAGGGGCAGGGTGGGGCAGGGACGGTGGCATCAGGGTGTGGCTCACCATCTGCCTGGTCCTTGGAAGGAGAGGGCCTTGCTGTGGTCATCTCATCTGACCCTGCCTCCCCACCCCCGCCTGCTATGGCTTCGAGGGGTGCGGTCAGCTGGGTCTGGGTCTCCCGCCAGTCAGCTCTGGTGGTGCGTGGGGTGGGACTTAGTGTCCAGATCCGGAGCCTCGGGTCGAAGAGGCCAGATCCTGCCCAGAGTCACCCTGTGGCCTGAGTGGAACACCACACAAATCTGATTGGAAGTCCTTATTTCGAAAACGGTCACAGGAGTCCCCTCCCAGCCTGGCCAGGGCATGTGTGCACAGGTGTGTTTGAGCGTGTGTACCTCTCCCAGCATGCTCAGTGGCCCAGATCCCACCTCCAAGGACGGAGGGCTTTAGTTTGGGTGGGAGACTGGGTCTCTGACCCCTCTCAATCTGAGGGTGCTTGAGAGGCCCGGCTGTCAGACAGAGGATCCAGGGATAGGGTCCCCGTTTCTTCTTTCTCTTGAGGAAGGGACCTTTGTGGGGACAGGCTTCATGGAACCTGTGTGGGGCAGTGATATGAACTCAAGATGCAGCATCAGACAGTGCTGGGTTCCAGCTCTGGTTCTCGGCTTATAAGCTGTGTGACTTTGGCCAGATTGAACAGCCTCTCTGATCCCATTTCTTTGCCTGCAAAATGGGGCCCTTTCCAGCCAGAGGAGTTGCACTAATTGCAATCGTAGGCACCACGGACACTACGAGGAGGACACTGCTGTGTGGGGGTTGTTCTGTGCACTGTGGGCTGCTGGGCAGTCCCTCTGGCCTCTGCGCCCTGGGTGTCAGTGACATCCCCAGCGTGACAACCAGAATGCCTTCAGAAATCGCCCGAAGGTCCCTGTGAGGCAGAATGCACTGGAGACTGGCAGGGCGGGGCCGGGGAATTGCTGGGAAGGTGATGGGAGCATCTCACGAAGCCAGGCCTGGGAACAGCCCGAGGGCTCAGCCTCACGCCGGGCATGACTTGGACTGCGCTGGGAGTTGGGTGGGAATGAATGGATTCCTGGTGAGTCCCTGTTGGCAGGCGGGCCCTCTCTCCGGACGGGGTGGGGCAGAGGGTCCTGGCTCAGGAAGGGCACTGATGTCAGCCTCCTTGGGTGGCTCGTCCCGAGTCTGGGGATTAAGTTCACATCTTGCCTTTGCTCATAGTTTGAGTCCCTCCCACCCTTGAACGGGGCTTTTCTAGGGTGAGAAAGAGGCCCCGGGAGGGGCAGCTTTAAAGTAATGTGACCAGCAGGATAGTCCCGATTTTTTTTTTTAACAATTTGTCCCGCATCAAGTGGTGTTTTAAAACGCCACGAGACCTGGGACAAAATGTTATTCTTTCCAAAAATCGGGACTGTTTTAAAATGCCACGGGACGCGGGACAAATTGTTAAAAATCGGGACTGTCCCGCCAAAAGCGGGATGCCTGGTCACCTTACTTTAAAAGCACCTGGTCCTTGGGAGAGGGGACCCCACGTCTGCAGCCCCCCTGTTCGTTAGACCCTGTAAGGCAGCTATCTCCCCTCCTGGCCCCGTTCCCTCAGCAGGTCACTGGGGAGCATCTGGGTCCAGAGCCCTCGGGGGGCGTGGGGGGCATTGGGGCACCGGGCCTGCTCTCAAGGAGTCCCCGTCCTATGGGATGCACAGTATTGCTCCCACTTTAGAGGTGAGCAAACCCAGGCTCAGAGACGCCCCCTGTCAGAAACCCGGGAGGCTGGGGCAGGCTAAGGACTTTAGGATAAGGTGACCAGGTGTCCCTCTTTTGGTGGGACAGTCCCGATTTCTAACAATTTGTCCCCCGTCCCAAGGCGTTTTAAAAAAGTCTTTTTTTTTAAAACGCCGAGGGTCGCGGGACAAATTGTTAAGAATCGGGAGTTGCCGAAACTGGTTTGGCTCAGTGGATAGAACTTCGGCCTTCGGACTGAAAGGTCCCAGGTTCGATTCCAGTCAAGGGCATGTACCTTGGTTGTGGACACATCCCCAGTGGGTGGTGTGTGCAAGAGGCAGCTGGTTGATGTTTCTCTCTTATCGATGTTTCTAGCTCTCTATCTCTCTCCCCTTCTCTCTGTAAAAAACCAATAAAATATATTTAAAAAAAAAGAAAAGAATTGGGACTTTTTTTTAAATGCCGAGGGATGCGGGACAAATTGTTAGAAATCGGGACTGTCCCGTCTAAAGTGGGACATCTGGTCACCTTACTTTAGGGAGAAAGTGGGAGAGCCAGATCCACCGGCTGCTGATAGAGAGGCTGCAGGCTCAGGTGGAGGAACCGTATTGATTTTGGCTCCGGGACCTTCAGGAACTTTCCAGCTGGACCCGCCCCATGGACACTCCTCCCTGGGAACCTGCCGCAGACCCGCCTCCTGAAGGAGTCTCTCTCTTTGCTTTTTAAGATAATCATCTCCCAGGTGTACAGTTTCCTCTGGCAGTGGCAGGCACTTTCCATGCTCGCTCTCCCTTGGGGAAACCGAGGCAGCAGGAGGGGGAAGGAGGGAGTGACAGGAAGTCCTAGAGGGTGCAGAGCCAGGCGTCCTGCTCGGGCCTCTGGATCCAGACCCCTGCCTTGGGCTGTTCCCTCCGTGGATCCAGGCTGCCCCCCGCCCTGGGCTGCTTCCAAGGCCAAGGCCGCCTTCACACACTTGACCTGCTCCCCTGAAGGTCGTCCCGGAGGAACTGGCACTCCATGGTGCTTTCCTCCATTAGGGATTCTTACAGGGAGAAGCTGTTGGCTATATGCACATCACAGACAGGAAATCGAATGGTCCCCAACAGCTTCTAAATGGAACACAGCCGTCCCCCTGCAGGCCCCGCCCTGCCCATGCCTGGAGCGACCCCTACACACTACAGAAGCCGCTTACTGCTCTTTCTTGGTGTATGACGCAAGGGTAGGTTTTGCTGGCTCCCCGTTATGCAATCTGGGCATTACGTAACCGGGATGCTATGCCACCCACCCTCCAACCGCCCACTGCACATTTTCTGTCTTATGACCCGTGAGCCGTCTCCAGATTCAACTGAAATGGCCTTCCTGCCCCTCCCCCCTCCCTCGGGATCCCCTCCAAGCTACCAGCCATCCCCGGAGGACTCCTCCCGCCAACCTTCTCCCAGTGTCCGATTTAACGAGATTCCAATGCGATGATCCTTGTGGGGTCAGAGAGCAGGGCTGGCGTGACCTCTGCCCTCTTGGTATGGCTGTGCCATCCTGGGGAGGAGGGTGAGGACGTCTGTCTGAGGGTCTCAGCTCTAGACATTCCCCGGAGGCCCCGAGTCCTACCTCAGCTCCTGGGAATAGCCCCAAGGTGTCAGGTGGCGCCTGGGGTGTGGGGCAGATTAACGGAAAATGCCAAATTGGCTTTTAGGCTGTCTGCCCGAGGGAGAATCTAGACGCTGAAGCCTCAGCTCTGACATAGAGCCACAGGCATCTTGGGGGGCGGCCAACCCCATGGACAGTGGCAGGGCGCCGGGCTTTCTTGCCCTAACAGGCAGCCCGGGGTGTGGGGGGGAAGGAGGCCTCTGTCCCCCACAGCCACCCTAGGCGCTGGGGTGGGGACGCAAGGAAGGAGGCCCTCAGGTGGATGCTAAACATCATCAAGGCTCAGGCTGATGCACGGCTCCCGTTGCCAGGACCACAGCAAAGAGGGTGAGGTCCTGACCTCTGTCCTCCCACCCCCACTTCTCCCTTAAGAGGAGAGTTCTGCAAATCAATCCTAACTGGAGTCTTGAAGGTCCTCAAGGATCAATGAGCTCAAACCTCTCTTTTTTAAAGAAAACTTTCACCAGGGATATGTTCATTGATTTGAGACAGAGACAGAGACAGAGAGAGAGAGAGAGAGGGAGGGAGGGAGGGAGGGAGGGAGGGAGGGAGGGAGGGAGAGAGAGAGAGAGAGAGAGAGAGAGAGAGAGAGAGAGAGAGAGAGAGAGAGAGGAACATCAATTGGTTGCCTCTCAGAGGACTAGGGATCAAACCCACAACTTAGGTATGTGCCCTGACCGGGAATCAAACCTTTAACCTTTTGGTGTTTGGAACGATGCTCCAACCAACTGAGTTACAACTGGCCAGAGCTCAAACTGCTCATTTTATAGCCTGAAACATGTGAGGTCTAGAGAATGTGGGCACCTTGTCTTGGGCCCAGCATCAGAAATGCCGGTCTTATTTACTTATTTTTGGTGTGTGGGGGTGGTGGTGGGCATTTTACTGGCCAGTGGAAACGAAATATCTGGACCTTGTGGCAGTTAAATAAGTAATCACTCAGGGCCCTGGCTGGGTTGGCTCAGTGGATAGAGCATCGCCCTGCGGACTAAAGGGTTCCGGGTCAAGGGCATGTACCTCCATTGCAGGCTCCATTCCTGGCCCTGGTCAGGGCTTGTGTGGGAGGCAACCAATCGATGTGTCTCTCGCACATCCATGTCTCTCTCTCTCTGCCTCTCCCCCTCCCTTCCGCTCTAAAAATCAATGGAAAAATATCCGTGGGTGAAGAGTAACAACAACAACAAAAATAATTGCTCAGTGGAACCACAACCTCAGAATGTCAGAAGGATGAGCCTGGCCATCCACCCTGGGTGCGTTTAGTATCTTCCGGGCGTCAGCACACGCTTTGCCGTCTTTAGGGGCGAGGGGAAGTCCAGTCCCGCCACTGTACGGTGCATTTGCCATCTATCCTGAGTCTGCCTTGCTCCGGTGAATGCTGCAGCCAGCCGCTGCGGTCACCTCACCTCACAGGCCTCCGGCCGCTGCCCTTCCTGCTTCGTCCTCAGGTGTCCGTCTCCGTGGGGTTAGGTTTCCTCGGACACGGTCATCTGAGACAAGCTGGGGGCTATGCGTGCATGCGAGGTCCAGCCCGTGCCAGCCCTCAGCTGCAGCTTGGCAAGATCAAGTTTCCATCTCCCTAGGACCCTGAGGTTGTCCTGACGACCCCGCCCCAGGCAGGGCACCCCCTCGGTGGAGGAGGGACAGGGTGACCGGCACCCAAGCCTGTTGGGAACAAGCTGAGAAGCAGAAGAGTGCTGCCGGTGAGCCTATTTTGGCAGCTGGAAGCACAGGCCAGAGAAGGAGGGGCTGGCCTGGGAACTAGCTGTTTTTTTTTGCGGGGGGGGGGGGGGGGGGGGGGGGGAGGGGACGGCGGGTTTGGGTACAAGGGGTGAGTTCCAAGATCCCCAGACAATATGAGATAACGGAAAAGACTTGGCTCTCACAAACCACTTCCCAGGTGTGCGGCCTCAGGCAAGTCTTTGTTTGTTTTACTTTTCAAGAGCCTTGGTTTTCTCATCTGTAAAATGGGGACAGCAGTAGTGTCTATCCTTGGCACAGTGGTCAGACTAGACTAAGATCATGACAGTAGAACATCAAGTATTAGAGCCGGGCACACTGTCGGTGCTTAATAAATGTCAGCTGTTTCTCCTCCCCCTCTTCCTCAAAGCCCCCGGCATGGTCCAGAGCACAGAGGAGGTATCCAATAGATGGAAGGCACCAGTATCACTCTTAAAGTGCTCAGCACGCAGTCAACACCCAACAGCTGGCAGTCCTCTCCTCCTCCACCCCTGCCCCCTGTAGCAACTGTCAATGTTAAACTAAGGCTGGATGGGCAAATCACCCTCTGAAATATAATCACATCCTATGTTTAAAAAAAATTTAAAAATACAGCGCCGAAAACAGTTTAGCTCTGCGGACTGAAAGGTCCCAGGTTCGATTCCGGTCAAGGGCATGTACCTTGGTTGCGGGCACATCCCCAGTAGGGGGTGTGCAGGAGGCAGCTGATCGATGTTTCTCTCTCATCGATGTTTCTAGCTCTCTATCCCTCTTTCTTCCTCTCTGTAAAAAAATCAATAAAATATATTTAAAAAACTTTAAAAATGCATATCATTAACATCCTAACGGCAGAAGAGTTTAATGACGGAAGTTCGCAAGGCCACTCCTCTGGGCCTCGCTGAGCCAGGCTGGGCTCCACGCAGGACAGGGGATTGCTGTGAAATGGGAAAAACCTGGGAGGGAATAATCCTGAGTTCTGAACTCAACCTGCCACCGGTTGCTGTGTGACTATGAAGGAGTCCCCTAACCTCTCTGGGCCTCGCTGCCCTCATGAGTTCAATGAAGGGCTTGAATGAGGCGAGTGAAGGACCCAGGCTGCCTCTCTGGGTCCGGGGAGGACAAAGGAGTAGCTAGATGGTCAAGGACTGTGGGCAGGCCATGGCCCTCACTGTGAGAGGCAGGCTCTTCTCCAGGCTGCAGGGGAGAAGGGGGAGGAACAGGCTTCCCTTCCCCGTGATCCAGAGAGCCTGGGACGGAGACCCTGACATTGGGGTGAGTGGCTGGCAGACCAGGGCACACCTCCTCCCTAGTAGAACACCCCCACCCTAGGAGAGAAGGGCCTGGGCACCACTCCTCGGTCCTGCATTATTCAGGGGAAGATCTGTGTGCCAGGCCTGCAGCACTGAAAACAGCCCAAGTGCAGCCGAGAAGGGCGGCTGCCAGGCCCTGGGATGAGGCACCCAGGCCAGAGCCTTGTCCACTCACCGATGGCTGTGAGGAAGAGCCCGGCCTGGTCGATGGGGCTGTTTCCCTCCGGCTCATAGTAGCTGACCGTGATCTTGGTGGGGAGGGCGTGTGGCGGGAGCGAGAGAAGAGCAGAGATCACTTATCACAGGCAGGAAACGCTACAGTGACCGCCTTCCCCGCCTTTCACCCCACAGCCCGTCAAGCCAGCTTTTTCCAAACATCGGAGCCCTCTCCTCCAGGAAGCACTCCTGGGTTGGTGGGCTGCTTTCCCCAGATTATCAAACTAGAGAGGGGATTCCCATCCCCTCAGAGTGCATCCAGGGTGCTGACTGTCCACCTGTGCCCCCGGGTATATCCTGCTGCCTGCGGGGTTCCCACATCTGCAATCAGGGGCAGGGCTGAGGCTGTTTCCCTTGGAGAAGGCCCAGCCCCATCACTGCCACGGGCCACCTGAAGTTCATTACTAGAGAACCCGGTGAGGAGAGTCTGTTCTTGGCTTTGCCACCTGGGCAAATCACTTGGTGGCCTGGGCACCCGGCGGCCCATGTTACACATGATCCAAACAAGGACACCTGTGGCTGTAACGCCCAATGATTCTAATATGCCGTCGTGCAGCAGCCCGCAATTTTCACCTTCCAGGAAGCCATCCTCCCCTGGCCAACACGGAGCTGCCTCCTACAGAGGTCACTAGCCGCAGGTGGCTATCGAGCATTCAAAACGTGGCAAGTCCGGATTGAGATGTGCTGTATGTGTGAAACGCTTACCAGGTCTAGACTTGGTATAAAAGAAGAGTGTAAGGCCCTAACCCGTTTGGCTCAGTGGATAGAGCATCGGGACTGAGGGGTCCCAGGTTTGATTCCCGTTAAGGGCATGCAGGCACATCCCCAGTAGGACGTGTGCAGGAGGCAGCTGATCGATGTTTCTCTCTCATCGATGTTTCTCACTCTCTATCTCTCTCCCTTCCTCTCTGTAAAAATTAAATAAAATGTACTTGAAAAAAAGAAGAGTGAAGGCTATTTCATTAATGTTTTCTATGTTGGTACCATGCCGAAAGGGTAATACTTTGGTGCATGTAGTCAAGTAAAGTATATTATTAAAATTAAGTCCACCTGTTTCTTTTTCTCCTTTCATGTGGCTCTAGGAAAAGGAAAATGACACGTGTGGCTTGCACTCTGCTTCTGTGGGACAGCTCTGGCCTAGCCTGTCTCGATTCCAGCGCGGCCCCTGGCTCCCTCGACCCGTGGGGTGGACTTCCCCAGCTGTGGTACCTTGTCGCTGCTGGCCTCGGTGCTGGCCTGGCTCATGCTGAGCCGGAGCGTGGTGCTGGGCGAGAGAGGCCAGCGCTGCTTGCCGTTGGTGGCCACCTCCTCGGCCTGCCCGTCACACACCACCTCCACCCGCACGTGCTCCGAGCGCTTCAGGCTGAAGGTCTGGGCCCCCGCGGGGGCGGCGCTGCAGGGAGAGAGGAAGCGGGTTAGGTGGATCCTGGGGCAGGTGGGACCAGGAGACTCAGGAGGAGGCTGCAGGGACCCTTCGAGCTTGTCTGGCCTGGGGGACTCCAAAGGACCCCGCTACACTGCCATCACCTGTGGTGAAGAGGCACTTGTTAAAGCACAGATTCCCGGGCCAGTCTTGTACCTACAGAGTCAGAATGTTTGAGGGCGTGGGACCTGGGAATCTGGATGCTCAGCAAGCTTCCTGATGCTTCTGATGGGAACCAGCTGTGGAGGCTCTGTGGTGCCGTAGGGGGGGATGACAGCCCCAGGCGAGGCATGAATTCACTTCCAATGCAGCCCTAAGCCCGGACCCTGTCTCCTACCCCATCTGGTATGTGAGCTGGAGGCCAGGAGAACCCAGATGAAGCCAGGAGGCGGTCACCCAAGCGCTGGGTTTGCACAGGGGTGGAGCCTGGAACCTGGGTCCCACAGGGGCAGGCGCGGGCTGGCTCTGCCACAGAGACCCCTCCTTCCGGCCGCAGCTTCCACAGCTCGCGGTCCCCTCCTCTGAGTCATTCCTTGGGGTGCCAGAGTGGTTTTCTATTGAGAGGGAAATACTTGGAATTTCTTGAAAAGCCATCAAGATTTCAGGGCAGGAAACGAAGAAGTGTTGTCCAGGGAGAGATTTTTGTAAGTGATGCTTCATGCCCATGAGAAAAGCACAGAGTGAGAAGGCAGTTGGCTGCAAGCCACAGCTCAGGTCCTCACCAGAACCTGAGCGTGCTGGCCCTCTGATCTCAGACTTCCAGCCCCAGAACGGCGAGAAAATAAATTTCTGCGTTCAGACCCCCGGCCATGGTATTTTGTTATAGCAGCTCTAGCTGCCTAAGACACTAGCTTAAGGGGAGGTAACAGAAAGGACAAGGAGGCTAGGTGAGAAAGGTGCCTAAGGCTGGTGGTTTTGCTAAATCCAGTTTATGGTCCGAAGGTTCCCAAAGGTCAAAGAGGGCTCAGAGGGATTTAGGTAGGATTCTCGTGGGATTTGGGACTGAGACGTAGGTACACGTGTCTGCCTCAAGGGCATATCTGCTATTTTGAGGGCCTGGAGCTCCTAGGGACCAGAATAGTTCTCCGCTATGGGCTGGGAATTAGAATCCCCAGGGGTGCTGTTGAAATCCTCGGGGTTTATTTTAAGGCTACAGACTATGGATCCCATCCCTGGAGAGTCTGGCTGGCAGGACTGAGGTGTGACAGGGCCGCTGAAGGTGTGAACAGCGGCCAGAGTTGAATGAGGTTCAGACCAACGGTTCTTGATGTTCAGCAGCAGCAGCAGCAGCAGCAGCACTGACTGCTGGGCCCCTCCTCTGAGTTTCGGATTCAGCAGGTCTGGGGTGGGACCTGAGAATGTGCATTTCCACCGTGTTTTTAGGAGCTGCTGGGGCTGCTGGCCCAGAGGCTGGAGTTTGAGAGACCCTGGTCTAGATGTTCAGCAGTGCTGTCTGGTGGGTAGAGCCCTGGGCAGCCACTGTGGTGAGTGTGAGTCTGCAGAGGCCAACACACAGGGTCTCCGTGACCGGGGTCCCAGACAACAGGGGCTCCTGGCGAAGCCCACTGGTCATGGCCACTGGCGGGAGAGAGTGGGCAAGGGTCCGGCAGCTCATACTCATCGCTGGGAAAGGAGCCGCCAAGGCCACTCCAACTCGTGTCCGTCTATCCTCTATTAGGGGTGTCGAACTCAATCAGAGAAGGGGCCAAAATCTAAAATCCAGCCTAAATCGCGGGCCGAATGGTTTACTGAACAGTCATAAACTGTCATTGTGATGAAAACGCAGCGGAGTGCAGTGATGACAGTGCGGTGCGGGCCACATTGCAAGGCCTGGCGGGACGGATTTGGCCCGCGGGCCTTGTGTTTGACACATGTGCATCCCCAGCCTATCGTGAGAACAGCTGGACGCCTGCTGGCCATGGCCTGCTGCCCTCTGTCCATATCCGTCATCAGGAAAAGCACAGAGTCTAAGCAAAAACCCTGGATTGGGGATACACGCAGGAAAGATGTGGGTTTGAGCCCCATTTGCCACTGGCTTGTTCAGGGGGCCAAGCAGGACGAAGGCAAGCCTGTCAGAAGCACCAGGCAGTGCCAAAACCGGTTTGGCTCAGTGGATAGAGCATTGGCCTGCGGACTGAAAGGTCCTGGATTAGATTCCTGTCAAGGGCTGTACCTTGGTTGCGGGCACATCCCCAATAGGGAGTGTGCAAGAGGCAGCTGATCGATGATTCTCTCTCATCGATGTTTCTAACTCTCTATTCCTCTCTCTTCCTCTCTGTAAAAAATCAATATATTAAAAACAAACAAACAAACAAACAAACAAAAGCACCAGGCAGCATTTCCCAAAGGGAGGTGTGGGCACATGTGTAAAATGCCTTCATGCGGCACACGGATGAGCATTTTAAAAGATGTATGTATTGATTAAACGTGTTATCTTTTTAAGGCAATTGCTGAAGGCTTGCTACATATGGCAATGATATAAGATCTCCATTTAAAATAAAGGTAGAGGGAAACTGTGAGCTAATTTACAGAACACTGCTAATAGCACTGTAGGTGAAATATGGTTTTGGTAAAAATCACAAGAGCTTGGGCAATCCTGGGCTCAGTCCTGGAAAATATTCCTCAAGCGTAAGTCCCTGCTGGGACCACCAACTTCCTGGGTTGCCCTCATTTCTGTTTCATCACGTGCTCATTGAGTGAAGGGGACCAGTCCCGGGCTGAGGCTAAGGTCCTAGGTTCTGAGAAGCTGGGGTTCTCTCCGCTGGGTCCCCACTTCAGTTATTCCACCTGGTTTTATAGATTGGGCTTCTGCATACAATTCTATTTAGAAAAAAAAAAAAGCGTTACAAACTCGCAGGGCTGGATGCTGGTTTAGGAGCAGACTGGCAGTAGTTAGCGCTGTCAGTGACGCTTCCTGCTGCCTTCTTTCCTCTGGGCCAGGGAGTCGTGGAGGAGGCCCGGAGGCTCAGGGGGTGAACTCGGGGCCCACGCTGAAGCCCCAGGGCCCCACGCCCTCCTGCTCCCCAGCACCAGCCCTGCTCGGAGCTGAGCAAACAGCTATTCTTGGAACAGCCCTGGCAGAAGCAACAAAGGCGCCCATTGTCCCAGGCGGATCCGGGTGGCTGCCTCCCTCCCGGAAGAACCTCTCAGAACCTCCACAGAAACCCGAGAGCCAGGAGCAGTGGGCGCCTCTGCTACCCCCGGAGGCTGCAGGGAGGCACCCTGGACAGTGTCCAGGGCGAGAGAGTGGGGGTGTTGGAGGTGGCTGTGACCTCCTGCTTATAGGACAGCAGCAAAGACTAAGATAGTGCGGACAGAGGACAGGCTGCCAGGTCCTGGGACCACATCTACTCTGCCCACTACTGCATCCCAGCACCTAGCACATGGCTATGCTTACTACAGGCTTTGGGGGGAAAATGAATGAAGGAAGCCACCCTTCTTGGCTTCCCAAACTCTGTAACTGGAGTGACAAAAACAACAACAACAAACCCCCCCCCCACAAACAAACAAACAAAAATAGCTGAAACCGGTTTGGCTCAGTGGATAGAGCATCGGCCTGCGGACTGAAAGGTCCCAGGTTTGATTCTGTTCAAGGGCATGTAGAACCTTGGTTGCAGGCACATCCTCAGTAGGGGGTGTGCAAAAGGCAGCTGAATGATGTTTCTCTCTCATCGATGTTTCTAACTCTCTATCCCTCTCTCTTCCTCTCTGTGAAAACTCAATTAAAAAAAAAAGAAAAAAAAATATATATATATATTAAAAAAAAAAAAAAGATACCAGGTCACTCACCTGCTTGGAATTATGCAGTGGCTCCCCATACCGACCCATACAATAAAATCCAAACTCTTCAGCCTGGAATTCACTCAGTGGCATTTCACCACTACGTCTCAGCCCGACTCTCCAGACTCATTTCCTGTAACTCCTTCCAACCTCTCAGCTGCCTGCACTGGTCCATCTCACCATGCACTTTGCATATGTGGTTCCTTCAACCTGCAATGCTTTCCCCAGAATTCTCTGCCTGGCAACTGTCCACCCTACTTGAAGACACAATGTAGTTGATCTGTCCCCATGTTTATTTTCCCCTGTGGAGACAGGGGCTGTCTTTCTTTTTGTTCCAGCATCTGGCCCATGTAGGCATGCAGATAATAGAAATATTTGCGACAGGAAGGGCTAGAAGAGGAGGGCTTGCTTATGTCGTTAGTCATTCACTCCACATGTGTTTAGTGAGCACTTACTATGTGCTAGGCACAGTTCTAGGTGCTGGGAGCAGGTTGACAAAAAACATTTCCTGGCCCAGTGGTCGGCAAACTCATCAGTCAACAGAGCCAAATATCAACAGAGCCAAATATCAACAGTACAACAATTGAAATTTCTGTTGAGAGCCAAATTTTTTAAACTTAAACTTCTTCTAACACCACTTCTTCAAAATAGGCTCATTCTATGTTATTTTGTGGAAGAGCCACACTCCAGGGGCCAAAGAGCCACATGTGGCTCGTGAGCTGCAGTTGGCCGACCACGGTCCTAGACCATGGAGCATATATTCTAGTGGAAGAGAAAGACTTTCAATGAATCACACAATTAATTGTGTGATTATAGCTATGGGAATTGCTATAAAGGAGAGGTGTGATATGCCTGAGGCCCTGACTAGGGAGTCAAGGAGGGATTCCTGGAGGAAGCGGCATTTGAGCTAAGACCTACACTCTCCCCTCTGAAGGACAGACAAGAACAAATAGACCAGTGTCTCTTAATCTGAGCATGCGTCAGCATCCCCCAAGGACCTGGTAAGATACAGTTTGGTGGCAGCCCCCAAGCTTCTAATGCAGAAGAAGCTCGGGGCCCGAGACACTGTATTTCTTCCCCTCCTCCAAGTTCATTGAGGAACACTGGACAAATGTCATTGTATGTATTTGACGTGTCCAATGTGATGATCTGATACACACATCAAATGAGAACAGGCGTTCCTCACAAAC